AGGAAGGCCTGGCACAATATGGTTCATGGGGTCACAAAGAGTCGGACATGACTTAACGACTAAACAACAAATTGCAATCAGTTGGTCATCCAGATTTTTAAAGGCCAGATCCAGTAGCTCTCAGGTCATTAGCCTTGCTACATTTCATACATAAGACTGGGTTTTTATATAAGACATAAGGCATTTTTATTTTTCCCAGAATTTCTGGTTGTCCACTATTGGGAACAAAATGTTAGATTCCAATGCCACCTCAATTATCACAGGCAGTGGGAGAACATCACTGCACTTACGTCCTACTTGTAAGTTTCACATAAATAATTGGCCATTGGGGAAGCAGAATGCTGGACAAGATGAGCTTTTAATCTCATCTAGTCAAGTTTGGCTGTTCATGTGTTTTAGTCTTATGACCTGACAAGTGTTCTGTGGATATTCATTAAGCAAGTTCAAAGAATATTTCACTCCAGTACAAGGGGTAGGAAAATCTGTCCTTTTGGATTGGAATTGCCTGATGACAATCCAAATGACAGTTAACACTTATGTTACCCGTACCATTTTATCTGGAAAGCACAGCCTTACCCTGCCCGAAATGTATTCTTATGATAACTATAAGAGTTACTTAGGGTTATGGCCAAATTATTGGACTCAACAATTTGTCTTCCTGCAATCAGTCTCTATTATCATATAGATTCCGCACTCCCTGTATTTAGGTATAAAGGTTTAGTCAAATGGATTTATGATAAAGGAAGGGAAAGTGGTATCTACACAGTCTTTACTTTATAGAGGCTGTTATCTGGTCCAGAATTCTATGTTCTAGAGAACCAGACAGCATTTTATAAGAAATATTCTGTATCAGACAGTAAACTCTCCACGTACTTAGTATACCACATATTCCTTTATTCAAATTATTTCAGCTGAACTACATATGAAGCTGAGCTCTGTATGAGGCTCTGTAACAAACATTTCCCATATTAAACCACTTTGGTGTTCTTCAGACTTCCCAACTCCAGATGTTTATGGCTGAAGTCCCAGGATTCTCAACTACTGCTATGCCACAGGGAATTCTAGCATTTGAAGCCCACACATCTAGAAGGCATCTACATTGGGGAAAGCTGGTATAAATAAAGCATATCTTTCTCACTCAAAAGATAAACAAACAAAATTTTGTCATCAGAATTCTGATGCTAGCCCAAGCATTTATTTTACAAATTGTTTTCTTCTGCTTTTTGCTTCACCTGTAGTGATATCACTCTGGGCCTTTCCAGGTTTGTAGAAGCTCAGCTTAACTTTCCCATCACTTAGATACATAAGGAGGCCACCTGAAGTCTGATATAGTTTATTTGATAGCAAAAGCCCCTCATTGTTCCAGGTGCGGAAATGAAAAGTGACTGAAACGTCCTCTAGTCCTGCTGTTCCAGGCAATGCTAAATAGCTATTGGGGTTCAAAAAGGTGACAGGAATAATTGGAGGCTCTGAACAGGAGAAAGATATATTGCCCTGGAAACAAATGAAACAAGAAAAACATTAGGCCAATGCAGAAATGGATAGGATTAGCCAGATTAATTTGTCCATAACTATGCATATTTACAGTAGGTGAGAAATTACAGATAGCAGTTGTTTAGCGTCCAGCTGCTTCAAGAAAAGATAGTGATGAAAAATAGCATTTAACAAGATAATGTCATCTATTATGAGAACTATCCGTCTGTACTGATAGAAGTACAGAACTAGAAACATCTAGCCATAGTTGCCAGCAGCCATAGTTGCTAGTCAATATATAATTACTTTAAACAATTTGGAGACCCCATGTAAGTACATTAATTAAGGTTGATAGCCTACTCTTTATAAAAATTGAGAACTGAACTTTTGTACTATATAGATATAGATATCATTTTTGTTAATTTTCCCAATATACACTTCTAAATTTATCCTTTTCACATTATGCATACTTTCCCCCAAGCAATTTTATCGCCCTTTCCATCTATATATGAATATCACTCACTTTAATCTAATATGTACATTTTTGTATATACCTTAAGCTGCAGATTGCATCCGAGTACCAGGAAAAGTGCTGATTTGGGCATATAACTGTTCTAGTTTGCAGAAAGGTTCAGGAAAGTTTAATTGTGTAAAGTCATATTAAAATGAGAACCGAATATACTATGTTTATCCCCCATTCCTAGATATTCAGAAAAGTTTCACATCATTCTTTATTTTTCATTCCAAACTTTAAATATACGTAACTAGATTTTCCCATGGCGTTTGTTTTCATCCCTTGTCTTTCTTATCCCCCTGTCATTTGTTATTCTTTTAATAGTCTATTTCTTATCCATATGCACATAAGCACAGATATTTTTACATCCGTTATGTAAAATATATAATTTTCTAAGATGTAAACATGTATTCTTCAAAACGATTTTTTTAATGTAATCTTATGAGCCTCTATTTATATGAGTGACATTATAACAGTTGCAACAGTGTAATATAAAGTGGCAATAATTTTATTTTAAAGGCACCAATTTCACCAAATACTATTGTTATTATATTACATATTACCTGATTTTTCTAACAGGTATAGGAGGTGATGAAGCCTGGCTTCTGGTAACTATATGGCCAGCTTTCCCAAATGTTTCCAGTAATAATCTAGAGCTCTTCCAGTGATCTCTTTGATCCCATATATCACCTTATCTGTAATTTCCCTTTTTTACATCCCTCAGCCTTGTCAAGCAGAGTTATAGCAGCTTTTCCTAATCTAGTACATGAGTGAATCCCAACCAAATAGGTGCAAAGACAAATGCTTAACTTTCAAGGGGTGGATTTTTTAAACTTACATTTTGGGGAGCCTCAAGATTTCAGGAGGTATGAGAATAACATGATTTTACTGAAATGTGCATGTAAGGGGAAAAGAGGAAGACTTGAATTATATATATTATTTGTGTCCTATCTAGAACAATTAAGCATAATTTTTCTTTGTTTTTTTCTGCCCATTCGCTCCTGGGGGGGGGGGAGGCAAGTAACTGAATTGCAATTTTAAAATAGTTTGCTCCAAACTGCTTTCTATAAGGTCTGGGCTTCGTGACCATAAGTGAAGCTTGGTGGCTATAAATTGACTGTGAATTGTCCACTGCTGTTCTATCTACAGTAGATCTTTACAAGAAGCTGTTTCTTCACATTGAAAGTTTTATGCATTGTGAGGGAAAAGTGCATGATATGAATGTATTGCCATCTTATATTACACATAAAACCTACATACTATGGGTCAAGCTAGTGCCGAGCTAGATAAGATACTGTTCACACAGCCCTGGATTAACCATTAAGCAAACTAAGCATGTGCTTAGGGCACCAAGGGAACAACAAGAGCTGCAGCTTTTACAAATATTTAAACTGATATTGTCAATTTAAGCCAGTTACAATGCACTTAAGTTAGCAGAACCAAAATGTTAAGGTATAGATGCTAAGGTAACTTCCCTTTAAAAGTTGGTGGTTGAAAAATGTATTGTTTTCTTTCCCATGCAAGCTTCTATAACCCCAGAAAGAGTTCAAAAGTATAAAGGGGACTTCTGAACAATATGAGATGAATAGAGGCTGCTGGTAGCAGGAGGCATTAGGCTTGGATCATAGAGTATTAATTTAAGCTCACTAAAGAGAAGATTCATGCCCTCTCATTCCCCCACAGCCACCTTTACTCTCTTATACGATTTCAACCAGAAAAACTTTTCATGGACACAGTTACATGGAGAGGAGGGGAGAAGACACTGTTTCCAATAGCATCCTTAAATTAACTTTTTAGAATTTAATCTCTTCAATATATAGTAATCTCACATTGCAGTTTGAACATTACTATGAAATGAGGCTATAAGGGAAAGAGCATATGTGTATACACACATGTACACAGACACACACACGTACCCTACATAGCACACACATAAATATTTCTTACCATTATGTTGATCTGAGGTTTATATCACTTGGCCAAATCAATAATATTCACCCCACTGTAATAAATATTTTTCAAAATATATTTTTTAAATGTAATCTTATGAGCCTCCATTTATATGGGCGATACAATACACACACACACAGAGAGACACACCTTACATAGCACACATATAAATATTTCTTACCATTATGTTGATCTGAGGTTTATATCTCTTGGCCAAATCAATAATGTTCACCCCATTGTAATAAATATTTTCAAAACATCCATGAAAGTTTTTCCATAGTAATATCCCTGATTTTCCAGGTATTGGAATCCCTCCAAAGCTGAGCTTAGAAAGAGAATAAAAATCAATAACAGTATTAAATACTTTTCTGACAATCTGCTTGCAACAATGGTTACAAAAATGCTAACAATAGAATAGCAACAGCAGTTCCCATTCTGGCCAATTTAGAAACAATTCATTTTTTAAAACCTCTTTTCAATTGGTAAATGCATTAACATAAATTGTAGGTTAAAATGCAGACCTTAAGAACTGTTCCGTAGGTAATAAAGCAAAGAAAAATACTCAAAACAAACATGTTCTCATTCTTGAATAGTGGGAAATTTCTTTAGTAGTCATTTCAAGGGAGAAAAAATGTGTCATTTCTAACTGAACAATGCCATTCTGTGAATATCTATTTGGAATTTACATTCATTACAAATTAGGTGTATATTTAGATATGTATATACTTTATGATAGATAAATAAATAAATGAATACACACACACCTATACACATACATACACACATACATACAGAGAGCATACAAGTGTATATACATGTACAACTATATATTGATAGCATAATAGAAAAAAAAAAAGACAAAAATTAGGTTAAGACCCTGTTTTCATCTGACCATTGCAACTGCTTACCTGAAATTGTACTGTAATTTGCAGTCCAATGAAACTATCTGCATATATGTTTCACAAATATATTTATTGTTATTTCTTATTTTTACTAAAGATATGCATGGCAACCTATTCTTCATGTTACATTAGATGCACTGAACCAGTGATGAAGAACCTGTGGCCTTCCAGATGTTGCCAAACTGTTACCCCCAGCACTCTTCCCCATTGGCCATGATAGATACGGCTGTTGGGAGCTATATTTCAGCAATATTTGAAATTTTACAGGTTTCTTACTGCGGCGCTGTACTGTGCACACAGATGTTACAGTCATGAAAGTTCCTGTGCATTCAGTAGTTTTATTCTACAAAGAAAGCTCCTCAGCCTTTTGAATAATTCACAGGTGAATGAACTCTACTTGTTCATCCCGACCTCATGCTCACATACATTTGTTCTATTTCCCATATGATTCTATAAGCCACTGCGCAGAGATGAAAGATGATAAGAGAAAGGATGAATGTCTCAGTGTGGCAATGAAGTGATCAATTATCTTCTTCCACTAGGGTATAACTTCACCTTAGCCTAGAGAAGGGTTGGGCAACTTTTTCTGTAGAAAGCAGAATTTTCCTGAGGGATAATATTGGTGGCTACATAGTGGGCTGGGTTAAAGCAAATAGCGATTGGTACTTTCTTTTTCTCTTTCTGATATCTTTCTTCCTCTCTTTTAGGCTACGGCTGCAGGGAACAACCAATATTTTTCTTACTAGAAGTTTGAACTGACTTCTTGCAATAAGGGTTTTGAAATTAGGATGAGGACTTCAATAACTTATCCTAAGGATCACTTGGAGGGTTAGGGTACCTTCACTGGTCCCTGCAACTTCAATGCATCTTGAAATAACTTGATTTTTTTTTTTAAACAGATACCAACTTGTCCTTGTCTGTTCCTTCCCTAGCTTATCTCACCTTTCCCATGCTTGCTTTAATGATCAACACTGCACATTTACTAGCAAATAGTGAAGGGATATGAGAACTGGCTAATGAAGTTGTGTTGCCACCAATTCCATAAAGGAAAGTAAACACTTTCAGTCTTACTCTGCAGGGCACAAATTAACATCCCAACCTGAACATCAGTACCAAGCTGAATTTCCTGCTACTGTTGTACTTGTCCATTGACCATGATTTGAATCCTGCATAGCAATAATTTCCTAACAGTGTTTCAAAATCATATTTGGTTAATTCATCGGAAAGCAGAGAAGCTAAAGCCTCACCTAAGCATCTCACAATTGCATAATCTCATTTACATCAGAAAGATAATAACTCTAATAAACAAAAGATAATGTTCACACCTCATAATCAAGGTCCAAATAATTGAATTCTCCCTTTGCATGAAAATGGTGAGTGTGTTTATCAACTGTAAAGTTCACTTGGTTATTGAAATGTTCAATGAGGACTGAATGCCAGTGCTGATCATCCAAAAGGCTACCCAGAGTGATATTAATTTGGGCATCGGTAGAATACATTTTAGCATCACCTTCAAGAGGAGAAAAAGAAATGGTTAGGTCTGTTACAATAACCAGTGTAGGTGGTGAAGATATGAGAGTTCAGATTTTTTTTCTTAAGGGGATACTATTAAGCAGAGAGACAATATGACTGGGTACTTGGTACCTATATTGATGAATAAGGAAAGCTTCCCATTATCTAAAACCAATGTAATGTGATCTCCATTCTGTCCTTCTCGGTGTAGCAGAATCCCATCTCTTTGGCTGGTTTTAAACTTCAGAGAAATTACATCTTTTAGAGCGGTTGTGGATTTGGGTTTAAATCTGTAGAGCAGGAAACTCCTTCCATCAAAATCTGCTACATCAGATCCTAGAAGGAACACCAACAAGAGTTTTCTTATAATATGGCTAAGGATATAAATGCATGATAATGTGTTGCTCACATGATGATTAAGAGAAGAATGTGAGACATTTTCTTGTCATACATATTGAATAACATGGGGAACAAGGGGGGTTTCAGAGGTTGTAAAAGGAGGATTCATCTTGTTTTAAGTTACGAAATACACAGTATTACAAGAGCATTTGATATAAGTCTGAAAAATAATAGAGAAATAAATTATCCATTTTCTGTACGTGGGGAAACAGGCACATTTTACATATATGATATGCATTACTGCCCCAAAGTTATACACATTTCCCCATATGTTTTTGTCTCATTTTATGTTAGCAGAGGCATCGGCAGCTGGCTGTGATGATGCCAAAATGAATGAAACCTGTGTTGCAACATCACAGTGCAATCTCTGCCCCTTTTTTATTGTCATGATCTGTAAAGGGAGAAGTCTGAGTTGTGACGTCACAAAGCATGGTTTATAATTTCCTCCTACTGTCACCTTCTGTCCATGTCCGTGCATATAAGATTGCCATTTTCAAGGATACACATATTCACTAGGATATTAGACACAAACATAGCATAGTATTTATCATAATCTATATATAAGAATGATTTAATAAGTTACAAACACATTCACACACCATAAGTAAAGAAGACAAAAGAGGCAATAGTTCTTGAAAGCTAGATTTGTGAAGTAAATGAAGATATATCAGGCTTCCAGGGAGTCATTTTTCAATTAATTGACTGCCTTCTTCCAAATCAATGGAGAACTCCTATTTAATATTATTTCATTTGACAAAACACTTGCTATATTATGCTTTATTTTGGGCATAAGCCTTTGAAAATTCATCTCTGTGAGCCCCATTAAAGAATCCATGTTCTCTGCTGAAGGGGTATCTGCAGTATTTTAAAGGATCCTGTTGTAAGTTTTACCTTCTTTTGAGTCCCACCAATTGCTTTGTTTGGTTCTCTATCCTGTCCCATAAACTTAATAAAGCTGCATGCAATTCTGCAGTGACCTATCTGTAAATAAACCTCACTGAAACATACTGGAACTATCTGAGTCCATTTTTCCCTTTTGTTTTATTTTTAATCACTGCCTTTCCACTGGGAAAGTAAGTCCATTAAAACCAGGCACCAAGTGAATGCCATGCTATGTGTTCAGTCTATTTTAAATATGTTGTAATCTATCACAGACATATCACTTAACAAATCCATCAGAGGTAATAGTTATGCATAATCCCTATGCTATTTCTGGTCGTTGTTGTTTTTTGTTTTGTTTTTACTATCCTCTGACATTAAACCTTAATTATGCACTTTAAGTGGCGCACATACATTTCTAAACATTGGGTTTATTGATTTTTTTTCCTTTTCCAATCTTCAAATGAGTGGATAGATAGATAAATAGAAACACACACACACACACACACACACACACACACTCCTACATCCTAGGATTCATATGGACAACATAATATTTCTTATTGCTGACATTCTGTCAGTCTTATTTATTTATTTATTAAATTTATATGCCACCCCTCTCCCCCAGAGGGT